GTAACTCGATGTTCAATTAACAGAAATTCGAGTTACGGGCAATATATATATATATATATATATATATATATATATATATATATATATATATATATATATATATATATATATATATTGAACGTCCACATTTACTAACTCGAACTTTAATAAAAGTTAACCGAACATCGAGTTACGGGCAACACAGATTTGTTGTTTGTTTAACGTTCAAATTTAATAACTCAATTTTGTTAATTGAACATCGAGTTATAATTTGGGCAAAGTATTGCAAAAGTGGGCGTGGTTTCTAAAATATGGACGTAGTCATGCTTGTTACTCTATGTTTTTGTAACTCGATTTCCCCAACTCGAACAATTCAGAATCTCATTGTATTATAGCAAACTTGCTCTCAAGTGGTACATGCTTCTGCAAACCATGACACAAAAAACCTTATTCATTTATTTGTTTCCAGAATATGATGTTTCGAAAATCATATATGAGTTACGGGTGAGGGAAATTAATTAGCGGATCAATTGTCACCTGCCTTTGTGAGAAAAAACACAAAAAAAACACACTGGTGTATGTTTTATATAATTATAAAAATGTATACACAATAGACGTCTTGCATTGACACGCCACAGTGTATGTATGTGTAGTTGATATCGTCAGAATCGAACCCGCGTGCCTTTGACCTCGGTAACTCAGGCTTCCAATCAGAGTTAGCGTAGCATGGGGCAATAGACTTATCACATTGTGGCGGACGTCGATTTGCCAAAGAAGGTCACACTTGAATACATTCTCATTGAAAATAATCTGCCGTGGTAAAAGTGGTAAGGCGGTGACCGAAACAATACAGGTCACGTAATTTTGGCCGCCATCTTGAATTTTGTGAAAACAGGGCAAGGAACCCATTGGGTAGTGTCGTCTGACCTCATTAATATGCATAACTGCAATTTCTCTAGCGCTCTTTCTGACAGAGAAATGTAATCTGTGCTATTACGAAGGCATTGGATAAATAAAATAAAACCAACTGCATTTTGACCTTACCAGAATGTCAATCACGTGTCCCCATTAATTATGAAATAGATGCCTTAAACACAATGTCCAACATTATAATACCAAAAACAAACAAACACACAAGTCATTCACTTCCAAGTCAGTGAGCTACATATATTGAGTACAATGCTACACCTCACACCACTAGTGGTATGAGACTACACACAACCCTCCAAAATAACTTACCGAACCAACCAAGACGGTTCTATACATACAGAGTAGTGGGGGAATATGTCCATAGACATTCTAGCGTTCATAAGAGAGATAATAGCAAAAATTTAAAAAAAAAAGAAAAAGAGCACCATGGGCCTTCTTTAGCTAAATGCTCACAAACTCTGAAATGACGAGTGGCTAAGTCACTTTAAAATCGCTCTTAATCGACCATATATAGACTAGAGATAAAATCATAAAATTTGAATTTAGGGATGACGGAATGTAATCCATGCTAGTTATTGACTTCGACCCAAACTGAATACATAAAGCCCGGATGACACTCAAATTGAACCTACATTATGCAAATTAGGGCAAATTCAAAATGGCGGTCATGTTAGGAGGCTTAGTTTATTGAAAAGTGATACATCTCATATACTATGCGTGGTAGATTTCTAAGAATTGGCAGATATATCACTGAGCATTGTTGGTGAGTAGTATAACAACTGTCATACTAATAAACATTTATAAAACAACACGTAATTTAAACTGGTATGGCTAATAAAGCAACATGATCAAAACCTTTGCTGAAGTTTGTTCATCATGCAGGACATTGCACAAGTCATGATCAAGTGGGACGTAGCAACACTTGCAAAACGAAATATGGATCGATATGTTGAAAATGATAATGTACGAATACCACCAATACCCTCAGATTTTGAAGAAGAGAAATTTGTTTAGTTTGCAGCAGATAACACAGATGTCATAGAAAGAAACTTTCAATCATAAACTTTTATAAAGAGCCTGGATCCAAAACTAAGGCGCTGAGGGAGTTCACACTCTAGACTTTTTTGAATAAATATGTTTTCAGTCTTTTTTCTAAATAAGTTGACATCATTGACTTGACACATGTCATGGCAGGGTGTTCCAAAGTTGAGGAACAGTATGTGAAAAGGCACGTCCCCCATATGTTTTCAATTTATATTTGGTGGTGCAAAGAAAGTTCTTATTGGAAGAACGAAGCGTACCACCGGGTGTATATAAATGAAAAAGGTCACAGAGGTAGTTTGGAACAAGGCTGTTTAAACGTTAACAGAATACTTTTGTACTCAATTCTGTGGTGAATGGGAAGCCAATGCATTTTTTGTAGAACTGGGATTATATGCGCTGATTTTCTAGTGAGGATGATGATTCTAGCAGCCGTGTTTTGGTTTTTTTGAAGTAGATAAAAGTCCCAATAAAAGTGAATTCCCATATTCAAGTTTGGCAGAGAGTACTGCAGGAATTAAAGTGTTACAAAAGTCATTGCTAAGGTATTTCCTGATGCAACCAATGCAATCAAGGTGGTAGTGAATGACCTTCGATGTTTCTTTATGTGAATATCGAACATGTGTGTGTCAAAAATTACTCCAATATCACGTGTAGAAATAACAGGTGCAACAGAACTAGAGCAAATTGTGACATTGTCGATTGGATCAGGAAACCTTGTAAATTTGGATCGGATAAGTTATACTTTGAGTCGTTGAATTTACAATTTTTTGTAACATCATTTCTTGATACTCTAGACACAGGCCTCAATTGAGTTAACTGCTGATGTGGAATCCCAGGTTGTGTTAATAAATGAGATTGCCTAATGGAGATATGTATATGATGAAAAGTATGGGCTTGAGGCACCTAAACTAGTAGTACCTTTTAAAGAAAACAAACTGCCATCGATGTTTAAGATTTAATAACCATGCCAGTGATACCAGGACATGATAATCTGTTGAGTAATTCACAATGGTCAGTAGTGTCAAATGCAGCTGATAGATTCGAGTAAGATGAACCAAAAACATAGTTTCCATTGTCTATATGTGAACAAATGTCATTGTGAACTTTCAGAGGGGCTGATTCAGTGCTGTGATAGCTTCCTGTATGCAGATTGTAGTGGTTCAAGGAGCGAGAATTCCTTTGTGGTAGAACCTTACCGGATTGAAAGCAAAGATCCACAATAGTTGATATAATTTGAAGTCGTGAATCAATCCAAGTTTGAAGTAGTGATGTTGGACAGATTGATTGAGTGGAATGAAGTTAATGTGAATGAACTGTGAATTTTCAGATTAGAGAAATCAGTCTCACTCATATCCAGGAGGCATCGAATATCTTCTATGCTTGTTTT